AGCTTCCGAGAAAAGAGATCTTATCTCGAAAGCTGGGGGCAACTGTTGGGCCCGAATTTAGCCCGTTAGCTGAATTAATGGGCCAAATAGTAAGAGCCGTTTGCGAAGCTTTACGAGCCCATTAGGAAGCCTCCCCTCAAGTGAGGGTCAAATAAAATCGTTACCTATCGATAAAAACAGGTCACAGCCAAAAGACTCGGGACCTCATTGTCAAAACAGCTAGCAAGGAACAGCTCCGGAGAGACGTGCAAGACTTAGTCAAGCGGAAGCTGTTGTGAATCCCGCAACTCACGGAGATAATCACGGAGGCTTCGTCGGGAGAAGTTGGACGTGACCTAGTGCTATATAAAGGAAAGAAGAGATCAGAGGAAGGGGTCGACTCATTCAAGATAACAAGACTCTAATATACATTGTTCTTAATCACTTTTGATCAACCATTGTTCTTTCTATTAGATCATCAAGATCATCCTTGTAAACTCTTTTATTACCAAAAATCAATATAAACAACGTATTCATTCTCTAAGTTCTTAAGGGATTCAGCCCACGATTGTCTTCTCCCCAATCCTAACCTAACCTAAAACTTGGAAGTGAGTTTTATCCTCACAGTCGGCTCGAACCCAATTCTAGTCTTTTTAGCTTGAAACATCTCAAAAGTCTAAATCTTGCCTACAACAGCTTCACTCTTTCTCCAATCCCAGCTAAGTTCAATAATCTCATGTTGTTAGAAACACTAAACCTCTCTGGTTCTTCACTAAAAGGTCATATCCCAAGAGAAATTCTCCAACTCACCAATTTGGTGTCTCTTGATCTATCCTTTTGTTTTTCTTTGTCCATTGAAAACCCACCTTTATTTCTCCATGTACTTGCTCAAAACCTGAGGAACCTTACAGCCTTGGATATGAGCTTCGTAAACATTTCCTCAGAAATCCCCCACGAGTTTTCCTACATGCACTCTCTAAGATGTCTATATCTCGAGGGATGCAAACTCATTGGAGAATTTCCAAACAGTGTATTCCTGACCAAACTTACAATCCATCATATTGGATTTAAACCCAAATTTGAGAGGCAGCCTTCCTGTATTTCAAAGAAACAGCTCTATGCAAGTCTTAAGCCTTGGGGAAACATCATTTTCAGGTACTATACCTGATTCCATCGGCAACCTTAAGCATTTAGTTTCTTTGACACTTCATTATGCCAATTTCTCTGGGAGGATTCCATCTTCACTTGGAGAACTTTCCAATCTCTCACTTCTCCGTCTTACTTCAAATCATTTCAATGGTGAGGTCCCATCTTCATTTGGCAATCTAAAACAGTTAACCAGCTTAACTGTTGAATTTAATCAGCTCACCGGAAACTTTCCATCTGCACTACTCAACTTAACCAACCTACGTCTTATTCGTCTCGATTCCAACCAGTTCACAGGTTCCCTCCCACCAAACATGGGTCAACTCTCCAAATTGGAAAGCTTTTACGCTAGTGATAATTTTTTTACAGGAGCAATTCCTTTATCCCTGTTCCAAATCTCTTCATTGACAGAAATCCGTTTGGAGAATAACCAATTCAGTGATATTGTTAGATTCGAGAATATCTCTCTATCTAAGTTACAATATCTATTCCTTCGATCAAACAATTTCAGTAATCCAGTTGACTTGAATGTCTTCTCTTCTTTTAAAGAGCTAGAAGTACTAGCTCTTTCGGGCATGCCTCTTTCAACAGCAAACATCACTTATGATTCAGACTTTTCATCAAATATCAAGTCTTTGTTCTTGTCAGGCTGCAAAATCACTGAGTTTCCTAAATCCATAAGAGACCAGAGAAATCTTCGTTCTCTCGATCTTTCCAACAACAACATCAAAGGTCAAGTGCCACCCTGGTTATGGAGACTACAAGAGTTGCAAATTCTGTATCTTTCTCGCAACTCCCTAAGCGGTTTTGATGGATCCCTGCAAGTTGTACCTGGAAGTTATATCAATACACTAAATCTAACGTCAAATGCTTTCCAGGGGAGAATCTTCATCCCATACACATCTATAACCTTCTTGTTTGCTTCGAGGAATAACTTTACTGGAGAGATACCTCGGTCTTTATGTGGTATACAACCCTCTCCTAACGTCATAGATCTATCCAACAACAACTTCAACGGCCCAATTCCTCGGTGTTTAGGGACTCATATAAGCTCTCTTGCGGATCTAAATCTTCGTAACAATAGCCTCAGCGGAAGTCTTCCTGATATGTTCATGCATGCTAAAAAGCTAAGGTACATTGACGTCAGCCTCAACCGATTGGAGGGAAAGCTTCCTGCTTCTCTTACCGCTTGTTCTGATCTGGAAATTCTGAATATGGAAACCAACCGAATCAACGACACTTTCCCGTTCCAGTTGAGTTCCTTGCAGAATCTAAAAGTTCTTGTTCTCCGATCCAACAAGTTTCATGGCATGTTGCATCACTCCAATGGAGCTTGGTTTGGATTTCCTCAGTTGAAAATCATTGATGTATCAAATAACGACTTCCTCGGCACCTTACCATCTGATTACTTCCTCAACTGGACTGCAATATCCTCGACTCCAATATCCTCGACTCCAATATCCTCGAACAAAGATATGCATCCACGCCGTATTTCTAAACTACCGGACTACATCTGGGATTATAATGGCTACTGTTACCACACTTCAGTTGTCGTGATGGACAAAGGAATATCAATGGCGATGGAACGTATCCTCACAGTCTACACAATCATTGATTTTTCTGGAAACAGAATCCACGGACAAGTCCCTGAATCCATTGGTATGTTGAAGGAACTCCATGTTCTCAATCTGTCAAGAAACGCTTTCACGGGACACATCCCATCGTCTTTGGCAAACATTACAGCGTTGGAATCACTGGACCTATCCCAAAACATGCTTTCTGGTGAGATCCCTCCAGAGCTCGGAGACCTCTCTTCTCTTGAGTGGATAAACGTTTCACATAATCAGCTTGTAGGTTCAATACCACAAGGAACACAGTTCCAACGACAAAACTGCTCTTCCTACGAGGGAAACCCTGGACTCTTTGGTTCTTCCCTAAAGGATATCTGTGGAGATATACATGCGCCAACATCATCATCAGAAGAAGAAGAAGAGGAGAACGAAAGGATGAGTTGGACAGCAGCAGGGTTAGGCTTTGCACCTGGAGTTGTATTTGGATTGACCATCGGATACATAGTGGATTCATACAAGCATGAGTGGTTCATCAAGTGTTTTGGCAGAAACAAGCATTAGAGCGCCCGTTAGATCATCCATCTCACTCCCCTAAGCATTAATGTTATATTCCATAAAGTTATTGCCTTTCTTTCCGTATTTCAAGAATAAACAGTTGTGATATATCAAATTTTATGTGTAATATATATCCAGATAAATTACCTTAACAAGAACCTTATCAAGGCCTCTTTATCGGAGGAAAGGTGTTTGGCTCTTTCTCTGTGGGGGGTAACTATTTATGTTTCATGTTTCCTTTGAGTTAAATCAATGTATTTTTTTTTTTTTTGCATTTGTCTCTGTAAACATGTAATATTTTGCCATTTCCTCCATAGAGATCTTTGAACGCTTCTCTTCTTGGTGAGCAACAACATTTAGTTTGTTTGGAATGAAAAATTGGGATCCAAGTGGATTGAAATGGAAGTGATTTTCCTCTTTATGTAGATTTATGTCATTGTTAGTCTTCTAAGCGGGAGACTTGTTCGGGAGCGCATAGGTCCTGCATTGCCAAGTGCAGTGCAAAGTCAAGTATGTTCTTTTTGCATACAAAAGGTTTCAGAATCGGCACTCAATTGTTACTGATGCTTTGTCCTTATCAGATGAGAGCTATGGACGTATCTTATGACGATCTCTCTAGCCTATTCGAGACAGGAGGCTCAAAATGATTAACAGGAGATTTGGTTGAGAAAATCCCAAAGTTGACAATCACTAGCAACAATAACACAGATGCTTCTGAGAACAGAGTCTCCTGTTCTGTCTTCAGGTTCTGACATCAGTTTGCCTTGTCGTTGTAGCTCATTACATCAATATCACAGATCTAATCTTGATATGTGATATTGCAGGATTTCCAACTTGGTGAAACAGTCAGAAGCTTGCATCATTGTCATCACATGTTTCACATTGTCATGTCATGCATAGACAATTGGCTACTCAGACACGGTTCTTGTCCAATGTGTAGACGTGACCTTTAGTTCTCGCATAGTGTAATTAAACCGCACAGTTCAGATACGTCTACATAGCTCTTGTCCTCCTCTCAACTTTCATCTAAATTACAGTTTCTTTTTTTATTTTTATTTTTTACAGTTACCATTTATACCTTTTCAGAGTACACTTACTAGCAGCCTAATTTACCGCAGGATGTATCTTCTTAGGCCTCCGATTGGAGAATGAAGATGATAAAGCATTAGCAATATGTTGTAGAAGTTGTATGCTTTCATTAAAGTTTTTAATAAAGTTGTTAGGATGGAATAAAACATAGGTTCTTATGATACTACAAAAATATGAAGTAAAGTAATAAAGTTTTATATTGGAGAAAACACATAAAATTTTCTAATATTAATACTATCAAATATCAAATATTTTAAGATTTCTAGGTTATATAAAGTTGTTGATACTATTTAAGATAATTAATTAGTTTAGAAATTCAACTTTTTTACCTAAAGTATGTCAATGGTTTTATTCTTTTCTTTACACGATTTCCGTTTGAGTCATACTTTCCTTTTGTTTCCGAAAAAATAATGTAAGATTATTTTATTCCTTTTTGATTTCTAAACCAATATGTAATATTTCTACCATATTAATCAATAAACTATCTCTTTGATTTGCTTTTCTAATTTATTTATTTACTTCATGTTTTTGTAGTATTAGAAACAACCACATATTTAATCTTATAAAATCATCATTAAACTTTATTAATAATTTATAAAATTATTAAACATTTATAAAGCTTTATAAATATGTTATAAAATTAGTAAAGTAATGTATAAGAATTAATAAATTATTTTAAAGGCTTTTAAATCCTTGTAAGAGTCTTAAATAATGCAAAAGTGATAATAAAGATTTTAAAACATTTAATCTCATTTAGTAATAAATTTCCCTAACTAAAAGTGAATTGTAAAAAACAAATTCTCAATTAAAGATTTAACGAAAGAACGCCGAAATTCTATAGTGAACACATTTACAAGAGAACTTCGTGAGATGTGGGCCGATTGGTTATGGCTGTAGCTTTAAAATTTTAGCTGTAGAAAAATGCTGTAGTTTTTTTGTTGTAGCTTTAGATTTTATTGCTGCATATTATATGGAAAGCTAAAAAAAAATTGTTTTGAATATTTGGCTGTAGAAAGCACTTGTACAGCTGTAGATTATTTCAGTAGCTGTGGTTTTTACAAAATCATTAAAGCTTGATTGCTGTGAATTTGGTGCTTTAGAAATACATGGTACTCTGGAGAGCACATACAACCATTACCAATCACACTCGTGGTGTGTTAAGATTACAAAGAAAAAAATAGTGACATATGTTAATTAAATGTAATCATCTTTAATTGTAGATAAATAAATTGAGAGTATGTGATTGATATGCGAGACTTTCATAGATAGATTTTATGAATAAAAGTTTGTCAAATCATAAATCAATAACAACATATCAAAGTAATGATAAAATCAGGTATTTCATTTTCTTCTAAATAAGACAAGACTTATATAGATTTTGTAACAAATCAAATAATTCTAGATTAAAAAAAAACTTATAACTACTCATTTCAAATCATAAACAAATAACACAAGATTTTAACATAGTTTGGCAAAATATTAATTGAATAACAGTTGACTCATTATAAAATCAAAATAATTATATTTTAATAAAATAGATTTTCTTTCTTTTTTGTAAATTCAATCTTCGTTTTTATTATATGAATATTTATTTTTATTATATATGTTTTTTTGGAAAGTATAAAAAGAAAATTAAATTAAAATTTCAAATTTAATTAAAATTATTAATAAATTTTACTAATAATGACAGTTGTAAATATAATCTTTTTAATTTATCAAGTGTATATGTGTCGTTAATCATCGTAATAATTAATATGAACGCGCACTACAAAAAAGGTTTTCTTAGCGGACAGAAAACGATATCTAACAATACGGTAGCGATTTATGAAGCGTTGTATCATCATCCGTCATAGTAGATCAGACACATTAAATAGCAGTTTTTCGTGGCTTTACAAAAAAAATCTAATTAAATAATAAACCAAATAAACCAAAAACTAAACCAAGCTTTAACCTAATTACTAACTAAACGTCGGCGCACCACCACAACTTCGTTGTCTTCTTCATCTTCCACTCCTCACCCGCCGCACCACCACCTTTGTCGTCGTGTTCTTCAATGACTTTTGTCATCTCATAGATGACCTCCTCCTCCACCATTCGTTGTCGCGGTTCTCCTCTTCCGTTCACCGTCGTCGTCCTTCTCCATTGGCTGTTTTTGAACAAGCTTTCGCTTCTCTGTCTTTTCTCCACTGCTAGCTTCCTCTGCCATCTGTGCACCACAGCTTCTTCAGATCCAACGTCGGTGAAGAGAAGACAGGATCCGTCACAAGACATTGTTGAGTTGGTCGACTTCCTTTCTCTACAGAAGAAACAAAAACACAAACATAATTAGAAAGTTAAACTGATGAGAAACCAACATATGAACTTTATCCATATTATAAACCAACAAAATTAGCTTCTTCAGATCCAGCGTTGGTGAAGAGAAGATAGCTCCGTCGCAAGACATTTTCGAGGTTGTCAATTTCTTTTACAGAAGAAACAAAAACACAATTAGAAAGTTAAACTGATGAGAAACCAACATATGAACTTTATCCATATTATAAACCAACAAAATTAGCTTCTTCAGATCCAGCGTTGGTGAAGAGAAGATAGCTCCGTCGCAAGACATTTTCGAGGTTGTCAATTTCTTTTACAGAAGAAACAAAAACACAAACACAATTAGAAAGTTAAACTGATGAGAAACCAACATATGAACTTTATCCATCTTATAAAAAAATAAAATTAGCTTCTTCAGATCCGGTATCGGTGAAGAGAAGACATGCTATGTCGCAAGACATTGTTGAGTTCGTCGATTTCCTTTCTCTACAGAAGAAACAAAAACACAAACAAAATTCGAAAGTTAAACTGATGAGAAACCAACATATGAACTTTATCCATCTTATAAACCAACAAAATTATCTTCTTCAGATCCGGCGTCTGTGAAGAGAAGACATGCTTCGTCGCAAGACATTGTTGAGTTCGTCGATTTCCTTTCTCTACAGAAGAAACAAAAACACAAACACAATTCGAAAGTTAAACTGATGAGAAACCAACATATGAACTTTATCCATCTTATAAACCAAATAAATTAGCTTCTTCAGATACGGCGTCAGTGAAGTGAAGACAGACTCCGTCGCAAGATATCGTTGAGTTCGTCGATTTCCTTACTCTAGAGAAGAAACAAAAACAAAAACACAATTAGAAAGTTAAACATATGAGAAACCAACATATAAACTTTATCCATCTTTTAAAACCAAAAAAAATTAAAGGATTGATATAAGCAAGAGATTGTTGTAAGGAGAAGATAGAAGAGAGATTGACAATCTCTAGATTAATAAGAAGAAAAATCTACAAAACTACAAAACTGAAAAAATCTGCAAAACTGAAAAAGAAGAGGAACAGATCTGGACCGTCAGATTTAATGTCATCAACGGATGAAAAAATGATCTATGTACTTAAAGTTTTGGCCAATACAAACTCTTCGGTTGCACACAAAAAAGGAAATTGTATTTTTTTTTATGAGAACTCTGGTTATTTTTGTTATTATACATGTATTTATATATTTTTAAACATATAAATTATATTTTAATGATTATGTTGAAATTTTCTAAATCTTAATTATGCTCATATGCTTGTACTTATGGTTAAATTTATTTAACCCAAATTAAAAATTATATTTTACTGTTTCTGTTTATGAGTTTAAAGTTTGGAATATGAAGTTTATGATTTTGGATTTAATATTTTGGGTTAAAATTTCAAAATAGTAGATTTAAATATTACACTTAATATATATTGTTTATGTTTGAAATTAGGTTTAGGTTATAAAGTTTGATTGGAGATTTTTATTGTTTGTGTTTTGAAAGTTATATATTAAGAGTAAAAAAAATTTCGAGTTTATGTTTAAGATTTGAAGTTATAGTATAGAATTATTAGAGTTTTAAGTTGTGTTTAAAGTTTAGGAATTAAAAACTTGTTTAGGGTTTGGGGATTCAAAAAACTAATTATAGCATTTCATTATGTTTAGCTATTAAACATAAGCTATCATAGCGTTTCTGAATATACCACTCTATCATAGCATACCCAATATACAAACATTATATAAAATTAAGAGATATATCAACCATAGCAGAAATGAAAAAAATGATATCTCTTATATATTAAAAGAGTTACATTTGTATTTAATGTGTTCATACTAATTTGTCCACATCTCACTCTCACATTAATTTAAATAGAGATCCTCACATTAAGGTTTCCTATTTTGCTTATAAGTTAACAATATAGCTCATCTCATATCATTCACCAAGTTATCTAGCGGATGACGATTCGGGAGACTCCGTGGCGCAGCGTACGATTTGGGTGAACGGTCGATCTAAGAATTTAAGGTTCCTAAAGACCTGTTCTTGGATCGATCAAGAGTTACTTTCGTTAGCTTCTTGAGACCAACGTCTTGTTTGATGAATTGAATCGAATCACACAAGGAATTAAAGCAAAAGCTCTTAGTTTATTTATCAAAGTTATGACTAGAACAAATGCAGATCTTAGCAAATATATCGATAAGGGAAAATTGTTGTGGAATTGGGAA